ATTATAAAATATAATATAGAGCTAAAAATAAATATATACTAATATAGGAAAAAAAATAAATTCTATTACAATATCTTCTTTATTATATTATTTGTTATGTCACATAATATATAATATGATAAAAGAATGTAACAATTATTAATAAACAACTTCTGTATATATGTTTATTAGAGTAATGGTAGATGAAAACCTGTAATTGTATTCTAAATGCATGTTATAACTTTAAACTCCAATTCTATAATGAGATTTAGCTTCTAAAACATGAATATGCATCTATTATTTAATAGTATATTTAAAGAAGTATATAATAAAATAAAAGATTTAAATTATAAGCTAAGTGAATTACAAGAAACTTATTAGTCTAAGTATAATTCTGACAACAATGAATCAGATAATGAAAAGGATAATTACCAACATTTAATATTGGCTAGTAAGGATTTACAATTTGATAATATTGAAAATAATTATTTTACTTTATCTCAAATTAAAGAATTTTAAATTTTTTTTTTTTGAAATTTAATGCAATACTCTAAAAAAAGTAATGTTAAGCAGCAACAATGTTTAGAGAAATTTGATAATGAGGCATTTTTAACAAAACTTAAGCAAAAAAATTGTTGTTAGCAAAATTGTCTTTTAATGAAAATTAATACACAAATAGCACTTGATAGATTTCATAAAATTAAAGCAATGTCACAATTTGAAATGAATTTGATTTTTTTAGAAATAATTGATAGAAGCATTAAAATTACCAAATTTACATCAAAAGCATCAAAATCATATTTAGTAACAAATTATAATCTTTCAGGAATTTTAATTTGCCAAACAGCTTAGTTAACAATTCACAGAATAGATAAATCAAAGTAGGAAACTTTACATACACACTATCAAAATCTAGACTTAAACTGAAAATTTATGCACTTACTGGTTGAATTAGTAACAACATAATTTCTTTTGCTACTGTTTTACATGTATTAAAATTTATTACAAATTTTGCAAACCAATATGAATTACCTTTATTAGATAAAATATCTTATAGTTGCTTATATTAATTTTGAAGACATCTGATAAAAAATAAACCAAATAATTGTTTGACTGATTCAATAAGTTATTGATTTCGACATAATTAGTATAATGTTTATTATTTACAAAAATAGTTTAAAACTAAGTATATATATATATAAGTTTTAAATTGATTACTAATCAATTTGTAAACTAAAACTTATGTGAAACATATGAAATACTATATACAATGCTTTAAATGACCTCTGATTATAACTTATAAAAATGCCAGTTAGGTTTTTCTTTCTTTAAAGTTTTAAGATATTTATATTATTCAGGTTTAGTAGACATGGTCTTCTTATAAGTAGCAAAAGTTTTTAACACATCTATATCTTTGAAATTGTTTGAAAATTCAGCTTATTAAAGATCTGCTAATACTTAAGTGTTTAGCAATTGTTCAAATTGATAATTCTTCAAGATTGGTTCAACTATTTTCCTGCAAATATGCTTCGAAAATATCATATTAACCAGAGTTATATTAATATTAATTATTTGGCTATTATTAATTAAAATTAACACTGCTGCACTGTAAATAAGCCTTGTAGTATTTTATATATTTCATATAAGTTTTAATTTACTAATCAATTTGAAATCTGTAAATAATAAACATTAGACTGACCAAGCTAAAATCAATAACTAATCAAATCAGCAAATAATTGTTCAGTCAATTTTTTATCAGATGTTTCAAAATTAATAAAAACAGCTATAATATAATTAACTGTCAATATAACAAATATCCAAACAGTCTAAAAACTTTGTTACTGTCAAACCTCTTAAGACCAATATGCATAGCAGATAGATTTGTAACAGTATTTAAAGGTTATTAGTATTGAAAAAATTATGAACTAATTAATTTTTATTAGATTATTGATTTTAACAAAATTAGTTTTAGAAAATTTAAAAGTATTTATAATAATATGTAATAATAATAATTTTTAAAAGTATTTATAATAATATGTAATAATAATAATTTTGGGTGTAGGTCCCATAGCTTAGCAGTTAAGCTCCCATACTCTCCACAGTCAAGGTTAACGATTCAAGTCTGGCTGGAGGCAAAATTAAAGATTTTAGCTTCTGTAACCTAATAAGGAGCCTGTAATTGAATACGAAGCCCTGTGGTTAAGTCCAAGTGCAGTA